TTTGCTGTTTTTTTTTTTTTTTTTTATAGCAAGATGTGGCAACACCATTGAATCAAGACTTGCCTTGTTTCCTTTGATTTCTTGCACCACAACTCTGATAAGATCCTGTAAATGCATTTGTCACTACCTGCGTTTTTCGGCATTCGGTTCGGTTGCAGAATGCAGTTGTCACTCCTGTAAATGACTGAACTGTGTGCGTACTGAAGAGGATTAAGCGCTAAAAAGTGAACTGACAACCGAATTTAGCTGCAGTGTGTATGTGGCCATTGTTTTCATTTATCATGCATCTTCTAGCAACAAGATGCCTGTTTCTGCATAAGTTTAATGCGTTTAGTTTGAGATCCCCACAGTCATAACAGTTAGTGTATCCCAGGCTTTAGTTACAAGGTTTTTCTTATAATTCTGTCATTATTTACTCACTACCATGACGTTCCAGACCGGTAAGAGTTTCATTCTTCTGCAGAACACAAAAGATGATGCATTGAAAAAAAAAAAATTTTGTCTTTACAATAAAGGCAACTAACTTTCCTTGTGTGGATTAAAAAATTTTTCAGCAAATAAAAGAAAGTCATGAGAAAGACATGAGGGTGAGTACATGATGCCAGGTTTTTCTTTTCCAGTGATCTGATCTTTTAAGGGGTTTGTTGCTGCTTGCATGAAATGAAAATTATTATTTTATTTTATTTATTTTTGTCAGTTTTCGCTGTTTAAATCTGAGGGTTGATCTCACACTTTCTACTCGTATTCTTGCCGTTGCTTCTTTTTTCATTCCTGGCTTTCCCTGTCTGCACTAACTCTCACTTAAAGCAGGACTGCTTTCATCTGAGCCCAGTTGAGCACATCAATGATCGTCCTTTTTTTTTTTTTTTTTTTCTTCAGTGATCTTAGTTCTGGTTTTCCCTTTCATCGTCTTCATGGGAATTTCCAAATCCAAGTCTTCAATAAAGAGTTCTAAGAATTGAGCAAAATCAAGTTCACATGAACCATTGATGTGGATGATGTGAAATTCTTAAATAGAAGGTTTTTATTGCAAGCTACAGCTATACGTAAAAACTCAACGGCTGGACTTGAGTTTCAACAGGAACTGCTTTGATTTACTAGTTCTACAGAAGCATATGCCGTCATTTATATACCTTGGGTCCATGGTAGGTTTCAACAAATGTCAAACATTTTGAATGTAATTTATTTAAACCCTACCATTGTGGTCCGTTTGGTCACCATTTGGGTTGGTTTGTGGTGTTTTGTGCTGTAGAAAGCACAATAGGATTAATGCCTGTGATCTTATATTATTCTGGGAATATTTTCAGATTAAAATGCCACTTTATTTTTTTTGAAAATGTTGGGTTCTGAGATTTGTATCTTCCAGTTAAAGACAGATCAATTAATTGTGTCAGACGTTTCATTCAGAGATACGTTTGTAAATGTTTTTACTGAAATTCTCATCACATTCTATTTTCCTTCCCCTCTTTTTCTCACCTTTCCTCTCTTCTGTCCCGCTCCGCAGTATCTCTCATAAAATAAGTAGCACAGTTGGTAGCATGTGGGACTCGCTCAAGAGCATTTTCTCTAGGTAATATCCATTCGTCCAGTTCTTGACTGTAAAAAAATCTTAGATTTACGTCATAGTTTCTTTTACTTAAAGGAAGAGTTTCCCCCCAAATGAACATTTCCCGATTATTTTCTCACTCCCAGGCCATCCAAGATATATAGGTCTTTCTTTTTTCAGATGAAGAGAAATTAATGTTTTAGAGGAAAACATTCTAGGATTTTTGTCCATCTAATGCAGGTGAATGGTGCTCACCGTAGAGCATTTCCGACGGTCCAAAATCTATATTTAGATGGCTCCAAAGTAATCCACACGACCCAGCTGGTCTTCTCTAGCGAAACAATCAGTCATTTTCAGAAAAAATAAATAAATTATACACTACCAGTCAAAAGTTTTTGAACAGTAAGATTTAAAAATTGTTTTTTTAAAGAAGTCTCTTCTGCTCACCAAGCCTGCATTTATTTGATCCAAAATACAGCAAACGCAGTAATATTGTGAAATATTTTTACTATTTAAAATAACTGCTTTCTATTTCAATATATGTTCAAATGTAATTTATTTCTGTGATCAAA